GGGGGTGAAATCTTCATTTGTAAATATCGGGGCCCCGCAGGAGCAGGTCGCATGGGTGCGAGTGCGGTTACCTCCAACGACACTGCGCGACGACACCTGCAGCCTTGACAGTCACCGTCACCCTGTAACTCCTCGTCTTCGGCTCAGGGGAAACAAGCGGTTAAAAAACTGCGATCAAAAGTAATTAACAGGGCAGTCGAATGGAAACATCTATAAAATAGCATGCGTGTGGGGCTGCCTTTCTGCACCCCTCAGACTCCCATCTATCGGCATTCGTACATTTTGTCTATCTTGTTTTTTTTTTTAATAGCACTGCATTATTCGTTTTAATGAAATCGCTACGTAAATGCAGATTTGTTTCGACAATGGGGAGCAAGTATTCAACATGCCAGCAGAGCACCTAAGGACATGAATAAAATAATGATCCGTTACCTTTGTTAGGGTTTAAGAACTCGTTCGTGTAACTCGGAGGTCCTTCTGCAAGTCAATCTGCCATTTAATCCCCTAAATACCAGGTGCCGGTCTAGTACTGAGTAAGGCTGCGCTAATCCGTTACAAGATGAAGACCATGCCAAGTCCACAGATGATTCTGCTGCACATACAGTACTGAGGGCTTTCCCTTCAAAATAAAGACGCTTGGAAACCCCACAGAAAGCCCTGCATTTATTTTATTTTTTAATCAGGGGCTCAGCTCTTAAGGACCCAGTGCCGGAATGGCCAACCTTAACTCTTTTAGTCCCTTCCATTATATAACTTTGAACTTTCCAATAAATCAATTACCGAATTTGCCCTTTACTCCCTGATGAACCCAGGTGTGGAGCCCCCCTTTGATGTTCAAGGGCGGCTGGAACAGAGACTTGCAGTCCTGATGAATGAAAGTGCTAAGATGGGACTTCCCCCTGACCCAGTTGGGTTTTTCCACCCACTCCCCACCACTTAATTGTCTAATTATCTAATTAACCTCATGACTGCAATGCTTCTAATAAAGCTCAGGTGTGTTTTATAGGGACCTTTAGTGAAGTGAATGAGTAATCAACTGTAAAAAAAAAAAACCCAACTGGTGTATGCTTAAGTATACTTACTGCTCAGGCTAAAACAAATCAGAACGATCTGAATTTGTGTTTGCGTGTCTGTTTTAAAGAGTGATTAAAAGCCCTTGTTTCCTTTTGAAGACCACGGATACACTATAAAGTAGGCCACTGTTTGAATGTACAGGTCTTGAGTCAAAGTGTTGATCATGGTCAATAGCTGACTCAGTCTCTACTGTGACTTCATCCGAAATTTAACATGACAGACAGGTATCATTTATACTGTGCTGTTTAATAAAATATGCAATAGACAGTACACCAGGTCTGTTTCATGAATAACTGGCTGAATGATTACATGTATAATAATGACATACTGCATACTAAAACTAAAGATGTAAATTCATGGCTGTATTTGGATTTTAGTCATCTTGTTTGAAACTATGGCGTAGTTTTAGCCCTTTTAATTTCATTTCTAGAATTTGAGTTTGTCTGCACTATGGGGGGCATAGGGGAGTATTTGTATTTTCAGTAAGAATTCCAGCATCAGACTATTATTTTACAGACCAATATTGAGTTACGAATTGAACTGTAAGATTAAGAACAGAATAAAAGAAGAGTGATGGAAGGTCTTGCTTCATTGTATCCTGTGACACCTTCCCTGCGTGATGCTGAGTGAGGAGAGACTGGCGGCTTTAAGGTCATGTCAGATGCGTGAAAGCAGAGTGGTGGGTCCCAGGGTGGATAGTATACAGTAGCCAAGCCAGTACTAGTTAGAACTTCAGAAACAACAATATTGCTGGAGATGAAGATGGCCAGTGTGTTTCCAGATGACCTGGACACCTCAGTTTGCCATCTCCTTCAGAAAAAAGAGGGACCTCTTTGTGTCAGAGCTGAGAGGAGAGAGGTCTACGGGGTTAGAACATGTTCAGATCTCTCCAGTGAATGATATCATTGGCCTTTGACTCAGTGCTTTTCCATCATTGGGTAGGAAGGTCCTCTGGTCTCACACCAGTGCGTTTGTTTTTTCAATTTTGACGACTGAAGCAGTATGTTTTTGCTCATCATTCATGAGTAGGTTTGTTTCGTGCCCAAAGTCATTTGATACAGGCAGTTTAGTTCCTAAGCATTCCGTTTTAAATTACGCCTCTCGAATCCCTCGCTTGTGTTAACATTCAAGGGGGAAAGCTCTGAGGTTAGCTAGCCTGCAGGTGTAGCCTAGCGAAAGTCAAAAGCTGACCCAGGTCGCTATTAATACCCTCTCCTCGTTCTCCTCACAGGGCTGCCCAGGAGCTGCGGAGTGGTGAATTATGAAGCACAGTCGTTCCAGCCTCTCCCTCTTCTCTCACTGCTGCTGCTGTTCCCAGTATTGCTGCTACTAGCCGCTTGGTTTGGACTCTTCAGAAAAAAACCCGGCCAGCTGCTGCCTGCTCACACATGGTGCATTGCTTTCATTCCCAAGCTTGCATCTCCGTGCTGCAGCCCCTCAGTAACCTTCAGCACATATAGGGTCAACCTTCCGGGATAAAAATAAGTCCGTCTGTATCTTTTCCAAAGCGGCCACCCTCGGGTCTTTTTACTGTTGCCGCCTCGGGTGATCCTCTGGTCTGCGGAGAGACATGGAGCCCAGCATGGAGTATTGCATGGCCCAGGTGATGCAGAAGGATGTGGGAAGGAGGCTGCAGGTCGGCCAGGAGCTCATAGACTACATCTCGGACCGGCAGAAATCGTCGGACCTGGAGCACGATCAGACCATGCTGGACAGAATGGTGGATGGAATTGCTACCTCTTGGGTCAACTCGAGCAATTTTAAGGTGAGGTCCTGCGGGGAGCAGAGCGTCTTTTGACTCGGCCGCGGGTTCAGGGAGTGCCGTTTTTTGTGGTCCGTTCCTTGTTAATGGCTAGGTTGCGCACCTAATATGAGCAGCGGGGGGGAAAAAAAGCAACAGCTGTTAGAAATCAAGGGCTGAAGTTGGCAGTTCTGTTAGTGTTAGGTTGACTTTCGTGAACTTCCACTTCACGAAACCCTGAATTCATGAATCGGGCCTTATATGAACCTGAGTGAGCTCAGTGAAACAACGAGAAAAACACCTGTTGCAAAATACGACAAATTGTTTTTATTTTCTGAAGAATGGGACATTAGACATATCCCAACATCTTAAACTAGAAATTTGATTAAATTTGAGCCTGACTGTGCAAGTTCTGTGGAGTTTCCTGAAACATGGTCAGTTTTAGAATTCCTTTCTTCCATTTATATGAGAAATTTGTATAATAATCTTTAAGTTGAATTTCGCTTAAAGTGTAAAGCACTCTATTTTATGACTTGGAATGCACATCCTGTATCAAAACCATAAATATTTACTGCCATGCTAGGCTGTACAAAAATGGGTAAGGTAACGATTTCTTGTCAGGCTTTGCTAATCTAAGAAATGAGGCCTTAAATACACAGGTTAATTGGTGGTGAAAACCAGAAACAGTTTTTGACAGAACAGAAGCAGAGATGTATGAGGTACATCTTGTGTAGTGAATGATGCAGAAACAGTTTTGCATTTCCTACTTACGAATACCAGTATAGTGTGGTTAAAAGCCTCTGTTGTGTATTTTAGTTTTGAAAATGTTCTACTCAAAAGTAAACCGTTACAGTCGCATAGTTGTGTCATAACTTTTCAAAAGTTTTTGGGAAACAGATTTTTAAAAACTCATAAATGTCAGTGATCTGTGGTGTGTGGGGTAGCTACAACGTGATTTAATCCATTACAATAAATTTCTTAGTGGAAACTGGAATTCACCCTTTGTCCCCTCATGAGAAGGTTCAATTAGTGGATAGCAGTTCAGGTGGGGAGCTGCGTCAGCATGCGTAGGCTGCAAAGGAACAAGTAATAGGTTTATTCCTGCTGAAAGAGAAGAAAGAAGACGTGTTTCAGCCATGGAGCCTGCTCCTTCTGGATACATCACCTCTAAAAGGCATTTCACTTGGTATTCCTTCAAAAACTGCCACCAAACATACAGCCTCTAATCATCTCAAAAACAGCGTTTGAAGTTTTGTCTTCACACAGCGGGTTCACACATCTTTGCTTGGGAGGAGAGGAAAGGATAGGTGGTTTTGAATTGCTTCTTGGGTTGTAGCCTAGTTCTTCGAAGTGCAGATAACCAGGATTATTCCATGATATTATGTCTGTTGAACACAACCTTTATGCTTGGCACGGCATACTGGCTTTTAAATGTAAACATGTATTTACTTGCTGCTTTATTTACAGTATCTGAGAGTGAGTAATTGAGGTTGTGTAAGTATCCATCCCAAACTTTTCTGTAAAGTAATATACAGTAGGGTCTGCGTAGCATTTCAGCATGGTCAAAGATAGCCAGGTTTTTTTTTTTAAATAAGCTTGAAGCTGCTGCTGGAATTTGCACTCAATGAAGCGTTCTAGTTCATTACAGGCCACAAAAGTGAGCAGTGTTGTTGTGTGGTATCTGGCTGGAACAGAGCTCATGGTGGAGAAGATAAGTAATTAACAATGTTGCCCTTATTGCTGCAAGATGAACAGGAAGCCGTTCTGATGCCGTGCAGAAAGACATGCTCTAATTAAGAATAGTTGCCTTTGCTTGTTTTCCTGTTTGTGAAGAGAGGAACTGTTCCCTGTTATATTCAGCGATCCATACACGACTTGGATCTAGTCAAAGAACTTTTACCGTCGGCATAACACATTTCTGGATGTCAGGAAAAAGAATTCCATGTTTAATATGGAAAAAAAAAACTACTACATCATTAGTGAAGACATTGGCATCTAAACCATTAGTATGCCCATGGTTTTCCTAGCTTATGTTAGGCAATTAGACCGGAAAAACAGTCTTTCATTGTAACTGTTTTCAGGCATAATGACTTTTGTTTGCACTTATCGGAGGTAATCTTATAATGAGTCTAAGACTTTACCGTTCTAGTTAAACCCTTCAGATGTGGACATTTGCATGGAAGCTGAGTTGAAGTGTTGCAGTGTCTGCCTGGTTTTGATTGGTGTTTGGCATCTCCACCTTGTAGCCAAATGAGTCAACAATTTTGCCATTCTGGCTGCGCGGTTCTTACAGGAAACATCCTCCATTACAGTGTGATGTACAATAATCAGTGTTGATAGTGTCACACTTTTCCAAAACAAGAGCGCATGTTCTGGTTGATAGCTATAGATCTAGGATGATTTAAAAACGTTTTTTTTATTGAGTTTTGATAGTTATTCTAAGAATGAGAGCTATCATTCTTAAGAGCGATTTAAGAGTTTGTTTATTCTAAGGCTGCATCTTTAAAGTCCAGTGGGATGCTGTGCTAAAGGCAGGCCTTAGATCACGGATATTTTTTCTTTGTTATTGTTATTCCTGTTTATCTCAAATGGAAAACAGTGGTTTTACGACGGTTCAAAGGGTTGGGGGAGTCTGGAGTAAACTACCAGTCATGTAGTTAAAGCCAATACCTTGGCTTCTTCCAAGATGCTTTCTGGATTAATTCCTCGGATGTATTGGCTACTCTCTGCCAAACAGGTTATTTGGGCTGAACTGCCTCCTCTTGTTTTTAGTGTTTGTTTCTTATGTTCATATCCTCAAAGGTGGTTTAATTGTTCATTCCCAGACACATCTTCGTTAAAAAGATCACAGCGCTTTCATTAAAATATTCAGAAGCATTTTTAAATATTTTCAAATAGGCGTAAACTTGCAAGAAACCCAATACAGTGAAAAAATACATATAACAACATGGGAGACCTTCTGCTGACTCAGAATCTGAGTAGTATGTAGCTCACAATCTTCACAGACGTTTTTGCTTACATCCAAGGTTTTACAGGCTCCTCCTCATTAGAATCATGACCTGAATCTGACTGCAGTAGTACAGGATCAAACCCTGTAACTGTCTGTTACAGTTTTAACACTGTAGTATTGAAGACAGGCTAATGCCCAGGCTGCTGTATTTATGACATGTCCAGTACGGTAGAGCCTTCCTGTAGTCTCATTCCGGCATGACAACATTCAAGCTGGAGAGCGTCCTCACATTCATAAACTAGGTATTGTATAGAACCTTTTTTCGGGGAAAAAAAATATTTCACAGCAGAAAAATAACAAGGTGGTTTTTTATACACGTATACGGTGGAACATTGAAATACTTTTTTTTTTACAGCATCAGTTTTATCTGAGTTTGTTTATTAAAAAGTAGGTGGAAAACAAGATTCAGTCCGATGAAACTTAAAATACTGCTGCATCTTATAGCTTGTCATTGCTTTAATTTGGTTTTGCTTGTAAACCCTAAAGGTGATATTCATAAGCCATAATGTCACACAGTCATTTTAAATCCTGCATTAAAACTTTTTTTTACGATTTTAGATTTGAAGTGCTGTCCCTACACCTCGTCAGTATTTAAGAAACAAGTGTATTAATTACTGCTGGAGTGCTCACGGCCTTGTGCGCTGCAGCCTTCCTGCTAATGCCCTGGTAAATATTTAGAGAACAGTCCCAGCCAGGGAAGGAGTTGGGCCCGTTGTTTCTCTGCAGCCTTCAGGCAGAAGGGCAGTTCTCCCTGATCGGCTGCAGCTGGTTTAGGTGAGGGCCTGGTGCTGCAGGAGGTGAAGAGTGGTCGCGTGCCGCCTCTGCCTGCTGTGTCCACTGTGAACACTTGCCCGCTGCGGGGCAGTCACCTGCCTGGCGTTGAGCTGTGCCGCCGCCTTGCCCTGTCTCCAGGGATTTCAGGGGTGGAAGAATCTGGTGAAGCCACGTTTTATTGGAGACCACACCGTGAAGTTTACACAGACCGAAAGGAAGCGCATAGCAGTCCAAACGGAACTTAAGTTCGTCATTTTAGAACTGTCTGTCCACGGACAAGGCTCTTGGTGTGGCATATCGAATCGACATCAGCAGTGAGTGTAGGGCAGAAAGACATTGGGGCCAGTCCTGACCGGACAGAGCGAATGAGGTTTCTTTTCCGGTGGGATGGACAGTTCGCAGTGGCTGATTGGCAGAACTAGCACACCTCTTGTAGGTGTACAAAGCAACAGCTGCTGGCGACAGCCCCACTCAAACCTGGGGGGAGCTTTCAGACTCTGTCCGTTGGAAATCGAACCCGGGACCCGAGGCTGTGAAGCCGCGAGGCGGCGGAGCGGATCGAGGCACCACTGTGCCGCTCCACTCCTGGTGTCCAGCAGTGAAAACGGGGAAGCTCGGTCTGCAGTTACCCACAGGGCTTGCACAACAACACCTGTGTGTCCAGGTGGTGTAGAGGACCTGGTCCCGTGGAGTAGCGCTTTCTACGGAAACTGACTGTTTTGTGCAGAAGACCCTTCTCATTCCCTTCAGTAACCATAATGAACCTCTATAGATCCATCATTCTCAATTGACAGGATTAGAACAGAAATAAGAAAACTGAAACCGAGCAGTTTTTGGTGAACTTTTGCTAATGTTCTTTTCCATTTACAAGGCCCTACTGCACTGTATTTTGCCTTGCTGATAACATCATCACAAAGCAGGTGTATGAAAAACCGAAGGTATGACTGAATCCGGAATGTAGTCATTCTTCTAGTGTAACTGGTGTGTTTGCAAATGCACATGAATTAGGACATTCTTATTTGCTATTGAGAATGCATGCAGTCTGTTGTACATTTTACTGTATCAGCCTGGTTTTGAATTCCAGAAGCCGTTTTGGTGGAAAGGTCTTGTGAAGTCATCTGAACTTCACCACAATAACCAATGAAAATTAAATCTTGTTTTGAATTAAAATATAAATACATACTGGGAAACAAGTATCTCCATGCATGTGTGTCCTATGTATTTGTCCTTGACAGGTGAC